TTTTTCTTTTTTTAAAAAAATGTATCTTTATTGATTTCAGAGAGAGGAAGGGAGAGGGAGAGAGAGAGAGAAACATCAATATGAGAGAGTCATTGATCGGCTGCCTCCTGCATGCCCCCTACTGGGGATCAAGCTGGAACCTGGGCACGTGCCCTGACCGGGAATCTAACCGCAATCTCCTGGATCTTAGGTTGATACTCAACCGCTGAGCCACGCCCAGCCCAGTTGGGTGATTTCTAATTTTTTAAAATTTATTTTATTGTTGCGAGTATTACAGATGTCCCCCATTTCTTAAAAAAAGAAAGCACCAGGTCCACATGGTTTCACTGGAGAATTCAACCAAACATTTAAAAAATTAACACCAATTTTACAGTGTCTTCCAGAATACCAAACAGGAGGGAACATTTCTGTGTCAGGGGTCCCTGGGACCATTCCCAAGCTCAGTGATTCACTAGGAACTCAGCGTACAGTCAGACTCGTGGCTATGATTTATTACAGCAAGAGAATACAGATAAAAATCAGCAAAGGGAAAAGGCAAATGGTTGAAGTCTAGAGAAAGCCAGGTACAATCTTGCAAGAATACTCTCCCAGTGGAGTCACACAGGATGTACTTAAGTCCTCCAGCAAAGAGTTATGACAACACATGTGAAATGTGTTCTATCAGGGAAGCTCATTAGAAACTCAGTTCCCAGGGCATTTATTGGGGGTTGGTCATGTAGGCACCCTCTCCCTAACACTTACCAAAATTCCAGACTCCCAGAAAGAAAGCAGATGCTCAACACAAACCACAGTTTGTACAAACAGCTTAAGCACTGTGAGCCACTCTTATCAGTCCTGGGAATGGTGGGAACTCACCCTAAATCCAAGTTTCCAGATGCCATCCAAGAGCCTGTTATGTTAACTCTTTTCTGCACAACTTCCCAACTCATTTTTTGGAGCTAGTATTATACCAAAACCAGACAAAGACAGTATGAAAGAAAACCCTCAAAAATTATCTCATGAACTTTGACACAAAAATCTGCAACAAAATATTAGTGATATAGAATCTAGAAAGATATAAAAAGAATTATACCATGGCCAAGTGGGGCTTATTCTAACTATGTAAGGTTAGTTCAAAAATCAATATTCAATGAGTGTAATCTACCATATCCACAGGCTAAAGAAGAAAAGTTATATGATCATGTCAATTGATGCAAAAAAAAAATCATTTGAGAAAATTCAGCATTCATTCATGATAAAAACTCTCAGAAACTAGGAATAGAAGGGTACTTTTTCCAACTTGGTAAAGAGCATCTGAAAAAACCCCAAACAGTATTCTTTCTTTCTTTTTTTTTTTTTTTTAAATATATCTTTATTGATTTCAGAGAGAGGAAAGGTGAGGGAGAGAGATAGAAACATCAATGATGAGAGAGTCACTGATGGGCTGCCTCCTGCACGCCCCTAACTGGGGATTCAGCCCGCAACCCAGGCATATGCCCCAACCGGGAATCGAACCCTGATTGCCTGGATCCTAGGTCGACGCTCAACTGCTGAGCCACGCCCGGCGAGGCAAACAGTTTTCTTAATTGTGAAAAATGGAATGTTTCCCATCTAGAAAGGGAACAGGGAAGGATATCCACTCACACTACTCTTATCTGACATAATACTGAAAGTTCTAGCCCTAGCCGGTTTGGCTAAGTAGTTAGAACATCTTCCCATAAACTGAAGGGTCCTGGGTTAGATTCCGGACAACGGTACATACCTCAGTTGCAGGCTCAATCCCAGGCTCAATCCCCCGCCTCTGGGGTATGTGCGGGAGGCAACCAGTTGATATGTCTCCCTCACATCGATGTTTCTCTCTCTCTCTCTCCCCCCTCTCCCTTTCCACTCTCTCTGAAAAGCAATGGAAAAAATATCCTCAGGTCAGGATTAAAAAAAAAAAAGTTCTAGCCTGAATAATAAGGCAAGAAAAGGAAATAAAAGGCATACAGATTGAAAAGGAAGAAATAAAACTGTCCATATTCATAGACGACATGACTGTCTATATAGAAAATTCCAAAGAACCTACCACAAAACTCCTAGAAATAATAGTTGGGTTCAGCAAAGTCAAAGGATACCAGATCAACACACACAAAAATAATTGCATTTCTATATACTAATAATGAATAATGAATGAGGAAGCTGAAATTTAAAACACAATACTATTTATGATCACTCCAAAGAAAATGAAATATGGTATACACTTAACAAAATATGTACAGGATCTGTATGTTGAAAATTCCAAAATACTGATTAAAGAGATCAGAGAAGATAAAAATAAATGGACAGACACATATGTTGTGTTCATGGATTGGAATACTCAATATAGTAAAGATGTCAATTTTCCTAAAATTGATTTATAGGTTTAACACAATTCCTATAAAAATCCCAGCAAGGTATCTGTAGATATAGACAAGCTCATTCCAAAATTTATATGGAAAGGCAAAGGACCCTGAATAGCTAAAAACAATTTTAAAGAAGAATGAAGTGGGAGGAATTACTCCACCCAATGTTAAGGTTTACTATATAGCTCTAGAAATCAAGACCAGTATTCACAAAAGGATAGACACATAGAACAACAGAACAAAATAGAAACCCAGAAATAGCCCCATACAAATAGCCAACACAAATATGCCCAATTGATTTTGACAAAGATACAAAAGCAATCAATGGAAGAAAGAGAGTCATTTTTAACAAATTATGTTTAAGTCATCAAACCTTAAGTTCACATTTTATGCAAAAATTAATTCAAAGCAAATCATGGATTTAAATGTAAAATATAAAACTTTTAGAAGAAAATATAAGAGAAAGTTTGCAGGACTTAAGGCTAGGTGACACCAAAGGGATGCTACATAACTGCAGACATTGATAAGTTGGAGTTCACCAAAATTAAAAATTTTGGTTTGCAAAATCTCTTAAGAGGATGAAAAGATCAGCTACAGGCTGGGAAAAATATTTGCAGACCATGTATCTGACAGAGAACTTGTATCTAGAATATATAAAAAATTCTCAAAGTTTAACAGTAAGAAGCAAACAATACAGTTAGAAAATGGGCAAAAGACATGAACAGACATTTCACCGAAAAAGACATACAGATAGCAAATAAGCACATGAAAAAATGTTAAACATCATTAACTACTAGGGAAATGCAATTTAAAACATTTATCATTACACACCTATTAGAATGTCTAAAATAAAAATACAGTGACAATACCTAATGCTAGCAAAAATGTGGAGAAACTGGATGTCTCTCATACATTGCTGGTGGGAATGTAAAGTGGTACAGACAGTCTGGAAAATTTTGGCAGTTTCTTATAACATTAAATTTACACTTACTATCTAACCCAGCCATTAGACTCTTGGGCATTTGTCACAGAGAAATGAAAACATGTGTATACACCAAAAAACTCTACATAAATGTTCATAGCAGTTTTATTCTTAATAGGCAAAAATTGGAAACAACCCAAATGTCCTTCAATGGGTGAATAAACTGTAGTACATCCATACTATGGCAATATTACTGCTAAGCAATAAAAAGGAATGAACTATTATTTACATGTGCAACAACTTGGGTAGATCTCAAGGAAATTCTGCTGAGTGTAGAAAAGCCAATTTCAAAAGGTGTGATTCCATTTACATAATATTCTTGAAATAACAAAATTATAGAAATGAAGAATATGTTAGGGGTTGCCAGGGGGTGGGTTAGAGTAGGGGAAGGAGATGATAGTGACTATAGTGGGTAGCAGGAAGAATCTTTGTTGTGGAGGAACAGTTGATTTTGGTGGTTACCCAAATCTACACGTGGTGAAATTGCATAGCACTATATACACAGACATAGAAACACAGACACAGAAATGAGTGCATGTAAAACTGGTGAAATCTGAATAAGGTCCGTGGATTGTACCAAAGTCAATATCTTGGTTATGTAAGATATTACCATTGGGGGAAACTGGGTAAAGAGTATATGGGACTGCTCTGCAATATTTTTATAAAGCCTGTGAATCTATAATTATTTCAAAGAAAGTATAATAAAATGAGGTAAGTCTGAATGACTATGAAAATTTTAGAACTCACACATTTGCATATTATAAAATAGAACTACATGTTAAATGTGGAAAACATACAAAATATAAAAGAGACTATGTTTGTGTTTAGCCTAGAAATGTAAATGAAAATGACAATATGAGTTCATGGTAATTGCACATGGTACATAGCCAAATCCAGATAGGTAAATCAAAAAGGGTTTTTTGCTTAAGCATCTTTATGAGTCAGGATTCCACCAGAGAAGCAGACTTATAGGACATTTTATCTATATCTACCTATCTATATAATTTATTCATTCATTCATTGGAAGATATTGGCTTACATAACTGTGAGGCTGGCTAAGCAAATCCAAAATCTTTAGGGCACACAGTCAGAAAGGAATGATGGGGCCCATCCAGATTATCTAGGATAATCTCCCTTACTTTAAATCAATTGATCTGGAGCTTTAATTACATCAAAATATCTTCACAGCAACACGTAAATTAATGTTTGATTGAATAACTGGGATGTAGCCTAACCAAGTCGACACACCAAAAAGTCACACAACATCATAAACCATTTGTGCTTGCAAATGAATAAGTGTATTCTGTTAATAGCCACCTTGGCTATATCATTATAGGTAATCCAAGCGCAAACGATTTAAATCAATAGTTGCCAAGTTTTCTACATGAGAGTCCACTTACAGAACTTTGGAGTTGAAAGGGGTCATGAAAAGCTTAGTTTGTTTTTGAACACAGCCAAAGCACCTTCCCATGACCGTCCCAGACACTCTGCGGAACCGAGGCTCCCCGCAGCAGAAGCAGAGGAACCCACCTGGAGCGAGGAGCGGCGAGTGCGGGAGCACGGAG